TGGAATCATGTACAGGTTCGGCTTCACGCGGTGCGAGGTGGAACACGCTGTGTTCCACCGATACGCTGACCAGGACACGCTCATCGTCGCAGTTGATGTCGACAACCTCACTATGGCCAGTAACTCGAAGGCCGCGATCCGAAGATTCAAGGACGGGTTGCGCACCGTCCTCAAAATCAAGGATATGGGGGATCTACATTGGTTACTAGGGATCGAAGTCAAACGGGACCGTGAGCTGCGAACTCTCTCTCTCTCACAGCGAGCTTACATCGAGAGGATCCTCAAGCGGTTCAGCCTACAGGACGCCAATCCCTTGACCATGCCACTCGATCCCCACCATAAACTGTCCTTGTCGCAATCCCGTCCACACCTCGGCAAAGCGACGATATGCGTAATGTCCCCTACAGGGAGGCCATCGGCTCCCTGATGTACACGGCGCTGGGCACACGCCCAGACATATCATCCACCGTCTCCTTCCTCGCGCAATTCATGCAGAATCCGGGGAGGGCACATTGGGAAGCAGTAAAAAGAGTCTTTCATTACCTGAAGGGAACGAAAGACACGTGTCTCGTCATCAGAGGAACGGGACAGGGCCTAGAGGCGTTCTCAGACGCGGATTGGGCGTCACAAGAACACAGACATTCTATTTCAGGTTACATGTTCACGATCGACGGAGGAGCGGTCTCCTGGAGCTCGAAGAAGCAGCCTATCGTCGCACTCTCGACAATGTAGGCTGAGTACATCGCGGCGACACATGCTACAAAGGAGGCTCTTTGGATTCAGACATTTATCGCGGAAATAGCGCGACCACTCAAGGAGCCCGTCACCATTCACTTAGACAATATTTCTGCCATCTCTATCACGAAGAATGACGCGTACCACCCCCGTACCAAACATATCGACATTCGCTACCACTTCATATGGGACGCCGTTCGCAGGAAGCTCATACAGGTCGACTACGTCCCTACCGCTGACATGGCGGTGGACATGTTCACCAAACCCCTACCCCGGCACAAGGTAGAGTACCTGAACACGCTGGTAGGGATGTGTTCCGCTTAAGGGGGAGTGTTGGGGTTATCGGGGATAAGCTAGAACACAGTCAGGGTGGAGGGGAGGTCGGGCAGGGTATTGTTTCATGTCAGCAGCCTCGGGCATATGCCTGAGGCCATATATAGTGCAACACCGTAGTTAGCCGCACCTCAGTGAACTACCTCGTTCACTGAGGTGCGTACTCTTGTCTATCCACGTCTAGATATAGAGTTACTCACTATGTTGATAGCTTCTATATCTAGGTACAGTACTAATACATACTGAGTGAACTACCTCGTTCACTGAGCTTCTATATCTAGCTACTGCGCATAACCGCTACACCTGAACTACGAGACTACTCGGAAGCAGGTGCATTCACTTGAGACACATCAGTATACACTGATTTGGACCTTGAGCTCACGATAAACAGTTCAAATGGGGAAACAATGGGGAAATGAACGAAGGAACTAATGTGGGCAAGCAGGTTATCAAGAGCGTCTCCACCCTCGAAAACCATCAAAAATTGAACCAACACCTCTACACTAACATTCCAGGGTCTCAAATCAGGCTTCGAGATGACATCCAAATACGAGAGATCGAACAGGCCACCGCACACAACGAGCCTGATCACCACAGAAAATATCAGACTTTGAAGGCCGCAGGTTCATTCAGCGGTGAGTGTAGGGGTTTTTATATCCTTATCAGTAGCTTAAACTTCTCAGTTTCCACAAGACACTTATACTCATGAAGATCCCACGGCAATCTCCCAGTACTGTCTAACAATGCCTGTGACCAAAAAGGCCCTCGTTAGAAGCCTTCGCAACCAAGCAATGATACTGCTTGCAGCTGGCTGAGCATACCAAGGGGACAGCCAACGCCCCTTAGAATGGTCCGACCTGGGCATACGGAACATCCCAAATGTCAGTGCCGGGTTTGATGCTGAAATTGCGGTAAGTTGACTGTTGTTATTGTTTCGAGGATGATGAGCCAACGGTAGGTCTGGCAACAAGGCCATGATTTTGCTGTCCTGTAATTCAAAGCATAACCAAGACGGCCGACTCGATGAACATGGTGTCATTCATCATCGGTTTGCAGCGTTATGCCCCATCAGAGCCTTGGCTCTCTATTTTTTTGTGCAATTCCACATCCTAAACATTCCTCGACCTTCGTTTGTACCAGATTTTTCTGACAGTGCACGTATGGCTGGGTATGGACAGTATTGACACAAGGCATGGTATGAGCTCAAAGTGTTCTATGCTTCGGAGATCACCAAGCCCATGTTGTATGATAGTAAGTGCCCGTTGGCACGCATGCATCTCCATGCAGACACTCATTTCTTTCGAGATCACCTTGAGAGGGTCAAGGCTTTGCACAAGGCCAGCAACATTGATCTGAGCAAGGTGACCCATGCGATGCATGTCTATGCGGCTGAAATCTCCCATGCTCATGGAACATCCATGGACGACACTAAGGCCCTCGGTGGTTGGAACGATTCTGGGCCTATAGACCATGCTCCAACACTAAAATCCCACTTCCAGCTCTTCTGGGTGCCACGATGTTCAATGCTGCGAAGCCGGAAAACCATGCCCTTCCTCGAGACTGCCTAGGTAAGTTGCTCTAGAGTCTATAAGGTGTCAGAATGTTCATGGTTCGTGCTTCGGATCAGAGCCTCCTAAAGAGATAGTAGGTGGCATATTTCCCTGGGTTGAAGAAGAAATGGAGGCCCTTCATAACCGTCGGGATGCACACGAAGAGTGTAGGGACTTCGCTCTGGATCGTTTCTTAGCTTTGTTAGGTTTCATGCGGAAAATCCTGGTGCAGGACCTTGCTGTCCTATTTCAAAATGCTCCAGACTCCCACATATTCTCGTATGAACCGTTCAACTGACCTGAGTTCGGGGTGTTTGCTGCACTTGTGCCAAAACAAATTGCAAGGGCAGAAGACGATGCTCGTGCCACATTCAGGAATTTGCCAGAACACATGGCACAGACGTTGCATGGCATTGTTGAATCCTCGAAACTCTCTCAGCAGGAACAAATGCGTCAGATACAGGTATAGTTTTCACAACTTTAAGAACAGATGATACAGATGGGTGGGAGCATCAGACTACTGGCGGAGGCAGGACCGCCTCACACAAAAAGGTCAAAGGAAAGGTAATTATGTATCTTTCAGGATTTGCTCTCAGCTTACATTGTGGGTAGCTGCCACTGCCAGTGATCAGCCTCCATCCCCACCCCCAATGTTGAACGGTCCAGCCACCCTGCAGGCTTCCCTCTCCTCTGCCTCACTGTTTTCAGCACTATTGCCAAGGGTGGACTCTGGCAATTACAGGTCAGAAGTACCTGCACCTGCACCAGTGGTGTCCACCGACATAAGCAACTCACCAGGAGCTGTTGCCACTACAGCGGGAGTAGCACCAGGATTGGAGGCCACAGTATCGGACAGTGGCTTGGCCAGCAGGCCCTCGGCCGAGGCTCCCCGGCCTCACACACCAACAAGCTTGATCCCAGCAAGGGATCAGACCCCACCACCGGTGGTGCCGTCTCCACCTTTGTCCACTCGAACGATACGCTGGAACGCCCTGTTCACGACATTCAGTCGAAGTCATATTGAAAAACATGTGTGTGTACAAGCACGACACCTGGCTTCCGCTCTATGAATTCCAAACCCTTCGCACCTTCTCTGATGCCTGGGAGGAATGGGCGAAGGGACTGAATGGATACTTCCCAGTCCGTGTCCTCCACGAACAGTTCTCAACACCGGCATGGTATCAGAGCGTGCACGGCGTTGTTATGGAAGCCGGACGGCGTCGGAAGGTGATCGCACTCATTGAGAGATTAGCGGCAAAGCCTGGGTGGACGATTCCAAAGGCTTTGGAATTTTTGACGGCAACGTATGGTGTGCGCTTTACACCGGGAACGTTTGCCAGGTATCTGGCAAAAGCTGGCAAAAGGCGGCGGGAAAAACATGGACGCAGTCCTAGCCAGTGCGGCAACCTACCGCACATGATCTCTACTCCTGGAGCTCACTTCCGTAATGCAGCCAACATCTTATACAATCCTATCAGCACGTCTCCCAAATAAGCCGGCCGAAGTTAGAGTACACCACGTAAATAACGCACCATAAACAGTTCAGAAGTTGCAACGAAGCCATGCCGACTGCGTACCTAAGTGAGAGGAACGGTGGGAGCTGTGCTCGTGCACCGTTGAGGGTGATCAGGAATCGGTAGGACTACGGTACAAGGGGAATCAGATATCGGAACGAGACGACCAAAAATTATGCGACATACGGTTAAGTATTTCAGAAAGCACTCACCAATGAATATTTAGCAACGGCGTGCTTCTGCATCCAAGGAATAAGGGTGTGGGAAGTAAACAAGAACTTCAAAATGTCAGGACGACACCAGCCGGCACTGATATACCCACAGTGATGTTAAAACCAGTACCACGCCAGAGATACAGCGCCAGACCAACCACGAAGCGCGAGGCCGATATCCTGGAAATGTACCCCAGCAGCCTCTTCCACGGAGTGCGATAGAAAACCAGAATGGTAGCCATGAGGCCACCAGAAGAATAAATTATGGCCGAAAATGGATATCAACACTTACTAGCTACGCGGCACTGACATCAGATGAACGAACCATGCTCCTAGCCTCATTCCGTTACAAGACCGGCCGCACGCAAATGATAACTATGTACAACCGTCGACGCGTCAGAGCTATCGGAGTGAGAGGCGTCGTGAGCGCAAGGGGATCGAGCAGGGAGTTGAGTACACAGTGGCACCCGTTCGAACATTCGAACGGGACCCAGTGCTGGCGGCGCGGAGGTCCCCAACGGTCGTTAGCTAACTAAGATCGATACACGGGTACCGACAGGGCGGCGCCGCGACTCCGACCTCACCCTGTATACATAAAGACGGGTTATATTTTCACAATACCGACCTAATATGCACGATCCGGGTGTGTGTCAATATCTCAGTTAGTATAGAGGTTAGTATTCGCGCTTGTCACGCGCGAGACCGGGGTTCGATTCCCCGACTGAGAGTTTTTTTTTTTTTTGGCTTCGATAATCATTTTAGAGAATTCTTCACGCTGCTATGAAATTCATCCCTACAAGCGTTCTCTACCATCATCGTAATGCGACCTATGGCCACTTTTGGTTACGGGAATCAGTTCACGCTGCTCAGAAACCGCCCATACCGCCCATGCCTCCCATGCCTCCCATGCCTCCACCCATGCCGCCTGCTGGAGGTTGCTTCTCCTCGGCCTCGACGACGCATACTTCGGAAGTTGTGAGGAGGGATGCCACGCCGCTGGCATCGATGAGAGCCGTGCGGACGACCTTCAGTGGGTCGACAATGCCCTTTTCGATCAGGTTCACATACTCGCTCTTGCCTGCATCATACCCCCACTCGAATTGGTCACGGTATCTATCGAGAATCGCGCCGACCACTACGCTTCCTTCTTCGCCAGCGTTCTCGATGATAGTCCGCGCGGGACGGGAGAGCGCGCTTCGGATGATGCTCACGCCGAGCTGCTGATCAAAATTCTCCGGCTTGAGATTTTCAAGAGCAACCACACTGGCCTTAAGGAGTGCGACACCACCACCCGGAAGAATACCTTCCTCAACGGCTGCCCGGGTGGCGTTCAATGCATCGTCGTAACGGTCTTTCTTCTCCCCCACCTCGACCTCTGAGGAGCCGCCGACCTTGATAACAGCGACACCCCCAGAGAGCTTAGCCAACCGCTCCTGCAGCTTCGTTTTATCGTAGTCCGAGGTAGTACTATCGGCAATAACCCCGCGAATCTGCTCGCAACGCGCTGCAATGGCGTCCTTTGTACCCTCGCCGTTAAGGAAAATGGTATCCTCTTTGGTTATCGTGACAGAGCCGGTGGAACCGAGCAAGTCAGGGGTGGCACGCTCAAGCTTGATGTCAAGCTCGTCAGTGAAGACGGTACCACCAGTTAATATTGCGAGGTCTCCAAGGATCGATTTCCGATTATCACCAAAGCCAGGAGCCTTCACCGCGGCAACCTGCAACTGCCCACGTAGCTTATTGAGAATGCATGCGGCGAGGGCCTCGCCATCAATATCCTCAGCAATAATAAGGAGTGGTCGGCGGGCCTGTGCAGCAGCTTCCAGAGAAGGCAAGATATCCTGGAGTAACGAAATCTTCTTTTCGGATAAAAGGATGAGAGGTTTCTCAAACTCCACACGCTGTGACTTGACGTCAGTGATGAAGTATGGCGAGATGAAACCACGGTCGAAGCGCATGCCCTCTGTAATTTCAATCTCGTCATCAATAGTTCGGCCCTCTTTGACAGTGATGACACCCTCTTTTCCGACCTTCTCCATAGCCTGCGCAATAAGCTCGCCTACATGCGCGTCGCCATTAGCAGAGATTGTGGCGACTTGTGCTATCTCGGCCGAAGTAGTAATACTGCGCTTGTTACTTTCAAGGAATGCTATAACGCGGTCCACAGCAGCCTGACAGCCCCTACGGAGGTCCATTGGATTGCACCCTGCGGCGACATTCTTCACACCCTCGGCATAGATAGCACGCGCGAGAACAGTCGCGGTCGTAGTTCCGTCTCCAGCAGTCTCATTGGTCTTCTGCGCGACATCCTGCACTAACCGGGCACCAAGGTTCTCAAATTTGTCCTTCAGGGAAATAGCCTTGGCTACAGTGACTCCATCTTTGGTAATTTTGGGGCCACCGAATGACTGCTCAATGATTACACTTCGCCCTTTGTTGTTGTCAGTGGGGAACGCAGTACTAGGTGATTCAGTTCTTACCTTTAGGACCCAGAGTAACACTGACAGCCTTCGCCAGAATGTCAACACCAGCGAGGATCGCCGCTCGACCGTCATTAGAAAACTTGATCTGCTTGTGGGCACCACGAGCGATTAGAGTCTTGGAGATGGAAGCCCGACGTAGTGCTACAGCCTTGGACAGGTGATGCATGATAGAAAATATTCGACTGAGATCACATGATCCAGACGACCGCGGAGTTGTCTGGTAATGTTGCCGCGGCTCGGCTTTGGCTCCGCGCCGAGCGAAGAGTTCAAGCCGAGCCGTTTGAAAATGCCGAAGACTTGGGGCTTGCATATGATAAGTATTTTCCAGTATAGATTTTTTTTTTTGCTATACTTATCAAAGTTACTGTACGGTTGAACTTACATAAGGAACGCATGACAAGTTCAAACCTGGCTAAGGTAGAGGCAGCTACTAACCGGCACCCCCTTACATAAGCCTGCAGGCCTGTTCGAAGAAAACCTATAAGCAATTACTCAAGATAGATAATTCATATATTTTGCCTAGAATCCATTCAGTATATGTCAGGCTATCATTTGTTGCAAAGGATTTATTCATTTTCTCAAATTTGGTAGAGGAGTTGCATTTCCAAAGTTGGAGTGTCAAAAAAATTATATTTTTATTTCTACATAGTTTTGGAGTGATTTGGAGCAACTTTCCATTTTCCAAAGAGATGGATTTTGCGCGTCACGTGACCCCACGTGACCTCGGCTAGCCTAAGAAAACTTAAAAAATTATTTATCTAAATTTATTGCATTCATTTGCATTTTTAAAACTAGTTTCATTGCGAGTTAACTTTCATAGCAGCATTGGGGAGCTCCCTATCAAAAGATGTTGATTGGTTCCCAAGCTGTCTGGGCTAACCGGTGGTATCACAGGCACTACATTCTTCCAAACACTATCCTAGATGAACTTCAGAAGGCTGGGAAGAGATACAGATTTTATATCCTAATTTATATTGCTAAAAAAAAAATTAAATTCCTAAACCCTCAGATTTTGCGCTCACGTGACATAGGCGCCCATATTACATAAGGGTGCCGGTTCCTAGCTGCCTCTACCTTAGCTAAGACGGAAGGGTTGATTGGTAATCTGTGAGGGCAACACTAATGACGAAGCCACAACCAAAGATACTCAAGGAGATAAGAGCCGATACTAGGACAATGACCAACTGTGTAGTGGGTATCCTCAGTTTATAACTCTACCAACGATAGATACATGGGGACTTGCCTGTGTAGTGGGTATCCTCAGAGATCAAGCTGAGGAAATGCCACCACACGGGCTACAGTCTTATAGCGCTGGCAAGGCTTACATAATAGGGGAGATGGAAACTTGTAGAAGGTTATGGAAAGTGACAGAAAGTGACATGTGACAGAAGGTGATGGAAGGTTATGGAAACTGACGGAAGATGACGGAAACTCATGGAAGGAAATAGAAACTTGTGGAAGGAAACACGTGAACCCTGACATAATCACACCCTTCTTTCCTTCGCTCCTCCATATCCAGGTGTAGCGTAGCGGATTGCCCGTCTCGCTCTCGTGACTCTTCATTTCTCTTGACACTATTCTCTCCTGACACTTTCTACCTTTCACGCTCAGTCACTCTGTTTCTGCCTTTCACTCTCCATGGGCGCTCATCCGTCTCACTCCCAAAAATACGGCGATGCGGGGAAAACGGCCAGGGCCATTCGATTAGTAATGTGATCACGTGACCTACGGGCCAAATAGTTACCGAGCACCAACACCCCACATGTACACATGAGACTAAAACCTTACATCACATGCCAGTCACAGTACACGTCCACAACCACATCGAAGCTGCTGTAGGGCTCGGTGCTGTACCTGTATGGGTGGTATATACTGTTGAAAGTTAGAATTACCGGCGGATGGCGCGTCTCACCCGGCACTTCGGCAGGATGACGCCGCTCGATACTAAGACAGGAAATGGTGGACGGAGGGCTGTTGATACAAGGGATAATGAGCAGTGAAAGAGTAAAGACATGGCTCTTTACTGACAATGGGATCATGGTATAATTAGGATGAGCCCTCGTGTATTTAAGACAGCGCCCTTCGGTCGCTGCTGACTATCAAAACTACTACTTCACCTTCAACCTACATATACGTTTTATAAGATCGCATGAGAGAAGGTAGATCTAATTATTGTCACCGTCAAAGGAGCTTCAGGAGGCGCAAAGTACAATATAAAGTACTATATTGTCATGGGGAACGTCTAGCAGCTCTGAGAATACACGACGTGAGTCATAGATGTGTGCTAGAGACATCTAGGATGGACGCTATGTTTGGGAGCATTAGCTAATAGAGGCCATAAGGACCTACAATGGCCATGGCCGTTTTCCCCGTAGCTGGGTATTCCTCCTCACTCCTCGGGACCCTTATCTCCTGATAATGCTCCATACGACAAAGGATGTACTCGCGCCGGTAATTCCTTTGGGAAAACCGCTAGCCTGAGCTATGTTTACATTGCGGTATGCTCCGTATGACGAAGAATGCACTTGCCCTGGTAATTCCTTTCAGAAAGACCACAAGCCCAAGCTCTGTATGTGTTGCGGTACCATCTGCCAGTGCCTTCCGCTCGCAGCGCCTCCCACTTCTGCCGTCTTGAATGGCCCATTCTCTGCGAATGGCATAATGTCTCCCTCATTGACCAGTCGAGCTAACACTTCTGCATCAAGTTCGATGCCGGTGGCTCCTGCTCTGATTCCGCCTTTCACGCATGGCGAGCATTTCCGCGCTCTTTGCGGTAACCTGCATCATGCTGCCGTTGCATGTCCTAAAAAAAAAACCGCCTTCTCTCGCATCCCATACGAAAGGATCTTGCCTTATAATCTGTGCGTGGCAGCTTGCTCTCCATACGGTGGGCCTTTCATCCCGCTACCCCATTCTTGTCCATGATATCGTATATGGCTCTCCTAACGCATTGCATCTTTAATGGGCATTTCCACTCCACGCCTCTCGGTGTTATTAAAAATCCTGGTTCTCCAACTCGTCCTCCGATGTTGTCGATTTCCTACTTGCTACTATTCTGCCGCTTTTGTGCAGATTGCATGACTCCTGTCTGCTCTTCGCACGGCTTTCCTTGTGTCCTATATTCATATCCATATGACGGCGCTCTTCTTTTGCTCATATCCTCTTTGTTGCAGATCTCTTCCTGTCCTCCTGGCGCTCATTGAAACCTTGGTACTCTTAACTGATGCTCTGCACCGCCATGTGTT